TGAAATCTTTGCCATGCAGCAACAAGGGAGAGCCGCCAGTTGTTCAGAACAGTTTGCAGGTTGGGAGGAGACTTTGCGTGCTCCCCCTTCCTCCAGGCCAGTCAGGGCCTAGGGTTCTGGGAGTGCAGGGAGTCTCTTGCCCCCTGTCTCTGCCTTCCACAGGACGACAAGAGTGACCTGCTAGCTGTTCAAACAGCAGGTGGCTAGCACTGTGGACCCCTGGCGGGGAGGGGGGGAGAGGGGAGAGGTTGTGGAGACTTTGCATGCTCCTCTGTCCCCAGGTCTTGATTGGCCTGGAGGTGGGGGAGCAGCAGGGCAGCTGCAAGCCTGATCATCCCGCTTAGTGGGACAGATCTGGCCCATGGAGGCTCTCTTGCCCCTGTCTTAGACCTCTTGCCCCTCTTTCCTATCTTAGGGTATCTCTTAAGTGTTTTGCAAAGTAACAAATGAGCCCACTTCTGGCAGGGGGTAATCATCTTGACTAATGGAGAAGTTATTGTGTTGAATCAAATCAGCTTTCAACTTATTTTGAGTTATTTGGGATATTCACTGTACTTGCTTATAACTAATTCCTGATTAGTTGACAGCAAGATGTCAGGTAACGCTGAGCAAGAAGGAGCTCTGATTGGGAATATCAAATGTAGTTTCTCTGCTTTAGTTTATTTCCAAACTTTGAAGATATGTATACTAGATGAACTCATAAAAAGGCAATACTTCTCTCCCCTTCCCCACACCCTCCTCAATGAATGTTTCACATCATTCTACTGAGGTGACCTGAGTTTACTCCTGGGTCTGCCATAGATTTCTCATGTGACCTTTGTGAAGTCATTTTGTTTTTCTGTGCCTCAGTTTTAACGGTTGTAAAATGATTTGACATTCTCAGATGAGGGCTTAATATACAAGTATGAAAATACTTGCTTCTACAGAGGAGCCCCAGCCTTTTGGTCCCACTCTGTTGCCAAGGGGAACACTGATGTCAGATTCAGAATTATGACATCACTGCGGGATGAAGTAGGGTAAGCAAGTATGTTAAAATAGTTTTTGAAGATATTTAGTAGGAAAAAAATCCTTAAGCATATAAGAAAATTATCAGAGGATTTAAGTAAAACTAATTTGGCTTTCATAATTAAGTCCATGTTTAGAGCATTTATTGACAATACAGAAAATACAGTGCTTACATTCCAGGAAGCGACATCTGTCAATTCTAATCTGTGGGAGTCTCCTCACTAGAATTTGTCTTGATTCTGAAAAGGACCACAGACTGAAACAAATATTGAGTGCTCATATTTAGATTTTTGTGAGACTAACTTACGGAATAGTTGTGCAGATAAGGTTTTTATATCAATCTGAAATGCTAACTGAATATGTTGGTATCTAATCCCTCTCCCTAAATCTCTTGCATCCAAAGCTGAACAAGACTACCTTGTGGAGAGTTAGAGTAGGTAAAATTGGATGCAAAGCATCCTCATGTTGTGAGATGTCCCCTATAACTGACCCTGGCTATATGCAAGGAGTTCCAGTACTGATATTTCAGTCTACAGAAAAGACAGATGTCATAGCTAACGTTCACTATCAACAACATTTCTCCAGGTTAGAGGGAATTCTTGGAATGATGTACTATTCTTGAAATGATATGCTAGCATGCTATCTGGAGCATGCCTGCAGGGAGTTCTGTCCCTAAATAGCTTCCTGGTAGATCTCATGTTGTGTTGAATAGAGCTTTCAAGCTGGCTAGCTCTGTCATTTGGTAAATATTAGTTTTACTGATCATTGTTGTTCTACTGTAGCTGTTTTGTGAAAGTACTTTGAGTGGACCGAACAAACAATTCATATGGTAATGGGGCCAGTTGTATTTGAAAACAACTACTCCTTGATCAAGCTCATTTGAATAAGCAAGAGGCCATACTGGAAACTGGCTGTGCTGAAAAGATATTTGATGGGGTGGAATGAGATTTCTCTGAAGCCAGACTGTAGAATGTAAGTAACTTTATAGATTAGGATCTTGATTGTGATCCTTCAAAGTTTAAAAAGTCTTGAGTGAGTTTAATAGACATAGGATTGGGTCATCTAGTATGAGACAGTTGTCTTTTGGTTGTGGGCAGATCTATTTGCAAGTCTCATTTATTAGTACAGCCTCTCCTAAAAGTGGAACATGGACAACAGAATTAGGAAATGCGGTATAGAAGGCAAGATCTGATTCCTTCATCATTTTGATACTTACCTTTTTCTTACAGTCCTTTCAGTACTTGAAATGGGCATTCAGGTAGAGTTTCAGATTAAAGAGTTATAAGTCTGCTGCTTTGTTCATTCACAGTATTACCACTGGAAGTTTTGTACCATGACAATGAAATGAATGAGGTCCCCTCAGCCAGACCTTCTTTTGGGAAAATAGGGACATAATCTTTCAGAGAATATGGTCCTGGGATCAGATTACCTGCCTGAGGAAAGTGTCAGTGGGATTAATTTTGTCATAAATGAGGATTATAGAATAATCCCAGGCATGTCCATTATTCTGACAAATACTTGCCATTTCTGAAATGACTAGAGAGCATGTAACATGTTGGATCAAAATATCACTGATCCAAATCAACATAGCTGGGATATTAGGCATTTGCAGTCTTGACATTATGGAGGTTGGCATATCCATGTGCCTGGAGCAGAGTGGGTACACTGAAAACAAACTAGTTTCAATGTGTGATACAAGAAGCCCATCTAACTATATGGAGGGGAAATCATTTCTCATGCTGGCAGTTGGGTCTATTTATTATCTGGTGCCTGGATGCTACAGTAAGTATGTAATGAAATAGAAATGTTCCTTATGATTTGCAAGCTTCTAAAAGCCTTTCTTGGAAATGAGGCTCCACTATTTGGCATGTTGACTGTAGAAGCTTCATCCTCTTGATAATCAGCAGCATTCATATGTCTGGTTATTGAAAGATGCTGTGTGTGTGTGTGTGTGTGTGGGGGGGGCAGGCAAAACACCTGTCACATAAATAAACATTATGCCTTTTCCACCCAGGGGTTTGCCGAGAGATCAGATGAGCAAACTGAGCAATTTCGCAACTTGTAACATTCATAAGTCCTGACTCTAAGCTCCTGCAGTTGACAGCATACTGTTTTGCTCACTTTTCCTGTGATGTTCTCAAGAATCTTACCTCCTATAGAGGGAACAGTTCAGCTCAAATGTGTGAGGAAGAAAAAGCACAGTAGTGCACCCATGTTAACCATGTCACTGCTGCCTGTTCTCATTGCTCTCCACACATTCTTCTGCCTACTGTTCAAAGGGGAAAACTTGACTAACTCTAACGAAAATTGATACTGTTCTAAATTCTCCTAACCTTGAAGTGTCCTGTTTGCTAGGATCAGCTATAGGAACCACGCTCTCCCCCTTGACGATAAACCTGTTGAAAAAATTACTTGTTTCTTAGGCGTTGTCACATTGCTAGGACACCGTTACATGTGGTTTAATTCCATAAGCTTATATGTTGAAAAAAAGATTTGGAGCTTGATAGAACCATGACACAGATCAATAGAATTATTCCTTCAGGGAACTATACAGTTTCCTTATGCTTGTTTCCTTAACTCCAGAGACTTTAGAAGGTTAAACTTTGATACCAAACGTCCTTGTTTTCTGGATTGCGGTTCTTTAGGGAAAATTTATGGCGGGACAAGCAGTGCTCTCTTCCACTGTCATTCTATTGTTGTCTTAATTCCTGCCAATCTTTAGTAAGTGTGCTTTGAAGGTTCACTTGGATTTATTTATTTTTTCAAGAAAACTTTCAATTAGGCAGTGTGAGATTTAAGCTCTTCCATTTCTGACAGCTGGAGGAAATTTGGGGTGTATGGGTGGGTGAAAAGGTAATAATTTGGCACAGGGAATACCACTGAAACTTTTAGGAACCATTTCAGGATTTTAGGCAATATGCATATTTTCACTTAAGCCACCTTCTCAGTCAGTCTACCAGAATTGAGGGACACACTTTATTTTTAATATAATATCTTTCAGGCACTGTGGATTGGCTTTATTCACTCTCGGATATGGTGTCTCTGTATTACTATTGCTTTCTGTCTTCCTAATTTCCTGTCCCCCGAAGTTACCCTGTGGCCCTTAATTCTGGATTGGGGGAACAGTTGATACAGGAAACTTTTCCTTAAACACTTGTTTCCTAATCACTGAACTGGAATATCTCCTTTGGGTGATTGAGCAGTTTATCTCTTGAGATGCCCAGCACCTTGGTGGTTGTAATTGTGGGTGTGTTTTTTGTTTTTTTGTTTTTTCTTCATAGTATCAACTTAAGCTCATTAGAGTTTGAACAGAAAAGTTTTTCAGGTGCCAAAATAAATTTCTCCCTTTGTTTCCTACCCTGAGTTGGGGAGAGCTGTTCTGAGTAAGGTACAGAATGCTTGCAGAAAACAACTTCAATCAGAAACTAGTGATAAAGAATTCTTGGGTAGCTAACAGGTGTTTTGTCAGGGCTGAGTTTTGTGGTTGAGCACTTGTCTAATTCCACACATCCTTACAGGGTCCTTATCTCCAGTGCAATGTAGTGGGCTGCCTTCCTATCCCCTTCAAAGAAGGGGTTGGAATAGGAAGATTTCCCCTCTTTTGTTAAGGGGTAAAGGATTATGGATGTCATACTTTCTGTGTGAAGTCGTGACATGGGTGTCTAATTCATCTGATTTCTTGCTCTGCTTGCCCTAAAAAACCCAAAATCAGGTCAATGCCATGGCCATAAAATGGAGGTACAAGGGGACATTGCACCTCGTATGGAATGTGAAACAATATGCTTTCAACTATCAAAGTTATTTAATTTTCCTGTTCTACCTTTGGCTTGAGTACCTAATCTCTTTTGGAAGATAAAGTTCTGTATTTCATCTCTTTAGTCATTTAGACACTAAGATGAAAAATTGTCTTAAAAAAAAGCATTACACTAAGATGTAATAACTTGTCTAATTTCTAATATTTTTGGATTTTTTCAAATTTACTTTTGTCTCTTCAGCAGGTAACATCAAAAGGTACTGGCTTAAATCCAAATGCAAAAGTGTGGCAAGAAGATCCCCAGGGAAGCACTGAAGCTGCACCAGTGACCAATGGCACAGAGCACTTGTGGCAAGAAACAGCTGCTGTACCAGGAACTCGTAGTGAGGGTAAGATGACTAAATCCCTTACAAAGTTTGAAAAGTGTGTGTGTATTGTATAATCTATATGCAGCAGTAGAAAGCAAACAGTGTTCTTGTCCTTGAACGAACAGCTCTAGAGGCTAAAGTAAGCCAATGTGGCAAGTTTTCAGAAGCAGTTTAGTGCTTCTTGACTGCATCAGTAAGAAAGGTCTGATCTGAAGGCATTTAGTCTGACTGAGTTGGTACCTGAAGTTGTATTGAAGAATAAGCAGGATATGGAAAAAAAAATCCAATAAGGGGATCAGTGTTATTACCAGCGTCCCCTCTAAATTTTCCATTCAAGTGCCAAATGAATTTTGTTAAGGCACCAAAATTCATGTGCACCAACAGTAGAAAATGTTGCCAGCTGTGAGCCTTCTGCTTATCACATGGATGGCATTTAAATCTCTCCTGGGTGGCTACCCCTAGTGCTCAGCTTTTGGGCAACGCTGGTTATGATCCCCCTATAACACTTAAGAGGCCCAATGATGACAAAATATCTTGCTACGAGGAAACAAGCTGCTAGAGTGTAGAAATGGATTCTATACTCTTATCTCCGCCTTTTTTCCTTCTTTATTCCTTTTTCCTGTCTCTCTTTCTCTGTTGCTTTCTTTCACCATTGCTGCACGTTAGCATGCACTTGGCCCCTGTGAACAGAGAGATTGAGATCTGAGGGCTACATGCTTTCCAGGTAGATGGAGCTATTTCACAGTTACACTCATACTGGAATGCGTGCTCAGGGCAATTGCCTTTTAATTGCATGCTTTAAGCTTAGACTGTACTTGTGTACTAATTTAGTTAAATCTAGTTGTCCTTCTAGGAATATCAGAAGTCCTCTGTCTCAGACCTGCTGCCATGACCAACTGCAGCGTGAGGGCTAGGCAGGATGTGGCCCAGGGGCTGGATCCTGCTCTTAGACTGCATTTGTCTGCTTTCTATTTATATCCTCCTGCCTATGCCACTGAATTTCCAGGTAGTGGCTTAGGCAGCAAGATCCTAATTAAATAACTTATGGTGGTGATGTTACCTTGACAGGGGCCAGAGCCAAAAGCCATTTAAATAGCTGCAGCAAACCCGGGCAGCTACCAGGAAATGTGGTAGTGGTTGGGCTGGGAGAGGAGTCCTTTGTTGTGTTTTTAATTGAAAGCCTCTGGCCCCTGACAGCTTTGCGGGCAGGCTAGTCCCCAGGCCCTGCTTCATCAGCCCCAAGGCACACCCCCTCTGGGTGGTCGTGAGGGTGTGGAGCTGGTCTGTGACCACATAGCAAAATTAATCAAGTGCCCCCTCCACGAAAATTATTTCCCATCCCTAGTCTAGCCCCTCATTCTGGGGCAAGCCACGTGATTTTTAAAGACCACTCCTCAGTGTGGCTTGGTGCGGTTCAAAGGGAAAAGAGGAGGACCCATGCCTGCCCACTGCTCTGGGTTCCTCTGGTGGCAGCCTTGTCCTGCCCTCCTCCTTCCCCTGCTCCCCCCCTTACTGTTTCCTGGGCCACTTCCCATGTGAGCCCTGCACTTACCTGGCCCTTGTTTCAAGTCATGCAGCCTGGTAGGTGTCAGACTGGAGACTTACTCTCTCTAGCTCCCCTGAGCTTGCCCAGTACTGTTTTCTCTAGAGCGCTTCTCTGGGAGCCTGTCCTGTGCTTTCCGTGGTTAAGACCAAACTGCCCAGCTCCTTATAACCAGGGCTACCCTAGCAAGCTGTCCTCTGATTGGATTCTTACAAGCCTCTCCCTGATTGTCCAGGGCTCTGTGCAGGCTCCCTATAGCCAGAGTGGGGTAACTGCTTCGCTACACTCTACCAACGGGTTGCTCTTCCAGCATGGGGCCTTTACTGAGCAAAAAATTCCATTTATGGGAGTCAGTTATTTTTCCTTGATAAATAGCACTGTAGTCTCAAGTGCTGCTACTGCATGTAAGTCGGTTTTGATTTAATCCTATAAATCCAAAACCAGCTCTTCAGCACTGAGAAACAAATAACCATGGTTTACATCATACTTTCTCTGACACTACTCCAGCAGTAACTGTAAATGCAACCATCTTATCTTTTAAACAGCTTGGAAAAATGTTCTGTTCTTATGATATAAATATAGGTTGTGTGTATTTACAAACATGTGCATCTTAAATTATACTGGCCTAGTTAAAGCTGTGCAACCCCTGTAGTGCAGCAGTGGTTATAATGATGTAAGTACATTTCAGATGGTGTAACTTGACTTGCATTAGAAGTTGTAATGGTATAGTTGTATTTTTTTTAAATAAAAACCTTGAACCAATATAGTTATGTTAATTAAACAAAACTAACAGTAGACTAGGTTTATGATGGGGAATAAGATGGAAAAGCTCTAAGGACACAATGCTCATGTTTAGCATTTAAAGCAGCGGTTACTAACCTTTTCCAGATGGGGACCCGTTTTGACAAGTCAGGAGACTTGGTGACGGAAGGCAATTCAAAAACGGGGGGGAGGAAAGGGGGCAGAGCTACCTGGGGAGACACTTGGTGACCCTTTTGAAACGTAATGGCGACCCATAGGTTGGGAAGCCCTGATTTAAAAGAGAATAGGAAGGTTATGAATGAGTGTTGATATCGGCTGATGTGTGTCAGTCCCTTGTGTGGATGCCAAACCTCAAAGACATCTGCCATCTGTGAGAGCAGGTGGGACAATCCCTGGGAAGGAGGGAGTAAGCTTTGCTGTCATTACATTAGCAACTTCATGTTTTGGTCTGGCATCATGCAGTCTCTGGAATAAACATGTCTCCTTGGTCTAAAATTGTCCATTTGCTGTCAGTTACTTGTAGTTTTCAGTCTGTTGAATGTAGCTGATGAAGTCCTGTAGAGGATGGATGGCCAAAGGTCTCAAACCAATACTTCCAGGTAAGAAGGTGAGATCGCTTCTGCAGAAGAAGGCACATAGTAATGGAACATGAAGCAGTAAAGGAAAGCTCCCCCAATCTTGCTTTGACAGATTACTGGAGACCAAAATATACTTCAGGTATATGCTCAGGGCTCTGTGCTTCTGTTGTCTCTGGAATTGTTCCTGGCAGAGCAATTCCAACATTCTCCAGCTGGCTCTAGCACGGGAGTCTTTCTGGTGCAAAGATTGTCCAAGAAGATAGTGTAGGGTGGATTAACTCTGCATTTGGTTTCATACTATGAATAGGGGAAGAGAAGATGTATTTCAGTCCTTGTAATACTACATGCTCTCACCCGCAGAGCAACCTAAAGCAGGGATATGTGTGGATCCATCCACTTCACCATAGGAAAAAATCCTAGCTCCAAAACAGCCAAAGCTCAGGTGGACATTGGGGAGAAAGTAAAAACATGTGGGGTTTTACCAAACTGGGAAATTGTGCAGGGAATTTCGTAAATAAGAAAAGGCTTGAGAGATTAATTGTAGCAATGTTAAATAAATCAGCTAAGAGTTTTAAAAGTATGTATATTCCCACAACATGTGCATTCATTCTTTAGCTCATTGCAAAAGCCATGTCTGCTTTAATGTTATTAAGTATAATGAAAAGGCTTATTATATCCACATGTTCAGTATGACAGAAACACTAGTGTATTTTTATTTTCCACTGGAAGCAATGTGTAGTTGACTACATTAATTTACACCAATCTTAGGCAAATATTCAACCTTGGGATTATTGTTGCCAAGTAACTCGGATTTGCTGTTCTGTAGTACTGGTGTGTTCTAGGTAGCTGAAGAAATTAAGAAGTAGATGGTGGTTATCTTGCTACCTCAGGATGAAAGCATTAGATTAAGTTCCTTGTGAGATGTTCAGCACTTCCAGCTCCCACAGGCAGAATTCACTCAAATCTAAGTCTATGGCAGAATTGGCCATTTAACTTGAAGTTGAACTTGCAAGATAAAAAGCTCACAGAAGTCAGTGGACTTTGCATCGAGTCACTAAGCTAAAAAGCTTGTCTCACTCACAGGTAGAAGTTCATCCAATAAATGATACTCCTTTAGTCAACTTTTTTCTTTTAGTTATTGGTGTTTTCATGCTTATCTTTTTGAATAGCTAAAATATTTCATACTCTTATATACTGCTTATAAAAGCTAAAGTGTAAAGCTAAAGCATATTTCTCCTAGGGATGTTAAATTTAGATTAATCAACTAATTACACAGTCAGTGCAAATTCCATCAGCTATTTGATTAGTCCAGGGCTATTCAACCTTGGAAGCCCCAAGGGCCACAATGATACTCTCAGCACATGCTGAGGGCTGCAACTTAAGTGTGGTTGCATATACATGCAAATATATATGCAAATAGGTTCTTTCACACAGTGCCCCTGGCACCTCCTTCCTGGGGGGCTAGAAACGCTGACACCCTGTACCTGTCCATTCCTGCCAGTCCATCCGCTTGCAACTTTCAATGCTTACTCCGCCTGGGAGATGGCTTGCCATTGTGGAGCATGTTCCCAGTGGACGCCATGTTCAAAGGATATCACCCGCAGGTTGCTTATCGAGCCCTATGTAAAACCAAGCCTCACCGCGGGCCGCAAACAAGTGGGCTGGGCTGCATGTTGAGTAGCCCTGGATTAGTTAAGGGCACCTTTGCCTTAGAAATGTAGCCAGAGCCCCATGGGCTCTTGAACATTTCAAAAGTAGAAGCGCTGTGGAGAGCTGGGGGTGAGTGGGGGACTCAAGCAGTACATTTCTTGTACATTTCAAAAGCAGGGAGCACAGGGCCAGTGTGGGACTGCTTGAGTTCCCCTCTTGCCCTGTGCTCCCTGTGTTGCTTCTGCTTTTGAAAAGTACAGGAGTGGGGAGAGAAGCAACTAGTTGAGTCCTTAGTTGACTAGCACATGCTTATCGGATAGTCGACTAGTCGCTTAGATTTCTAATTGCTCCAGATGTGCCTTTTTACTTGCCTCATGCAGTTTCTTCTGTACTTAAGTACATTTTTGCCATTAATGTCCTTTACTGCGAACATGCTTTTGAATAGGTTAAGGAAAGAGTTAAAGTAGAAATGACCTATTTGATTAGAGTGAAACCTTCTGCAAGTAAACTCTTCGGTTCTCTTCGCTGTCCCCCTCCCACTCCCCTGCCCATTGTACCCCAACCACGTTTCAGATATTTAAGTAAAACACCACTCCATTCTGTCCCAAATAGTTTGTGGAATAGATTAATAAATTATCTAATACCCGCATTCTTCTAGTTTGTTTTATAATCCTGCTAAGTTGAAAGTCCTGGGTACTTTTATATAAAACAGATCATATAATAATTTAGCTGTCTCTGTGGCATAAGTGCTGTATGTTTAGGGAGTCAACTTGATGGTTATTGAAAGAAAAAAAACTGTTCCAGATGTTACAAAAGTTTTGGGTTTCCTGCCATGGTTTGACCTGTCCTCCCTTCCCCCCGTTATGAGAGTACAGACAAGGGAAACCAAGAAACTGTCTATATATGTATAAAGAAACTTAAAAACCAGAAGTCTTCTCGTTATAATATATGGTGTTGGTTGTAACAATGTCAGGTAATATATTTTTCAGACGAAAAATAAACTGGTGTGTTCTCTTTCCAGGTAATGTAGAGATTGGGGAGGATAGCTGTAAGCAGTATGAAGTGATGTATTCTCCAACATGTGATGCTTTAAGAAATGGCACTGGTGTGGAGGAAGCAGCTGCTAATGGAATGGCCCTGGCAACTGAGGATCTTGAGTACCAAATTTATGATATTTCTGGTGAGTAAGCTATAGTAGCATCTTACATTCCGTGTTGTCCTCAACTCATGTAGTCTTCCGGGATGTCTCATTGTTAATATTCATACACCCAAAATGTGATCTGTCTGTCTTTTCTACACTTATTAAAGTTCAAAGCTTAATACAATTGCTTTTGCTGTAAAAGCAAAAATGTTCTCTTGTCTTCACTAGTTATCACTTGTAGCGAGGCTCTGAATAAAGCAGAAGATTGCTTCTCTGTAGAGCTTATAAATGGAATAATTAACATTAACAGCCCTGGGATAAGAACTTAATTTAGAAGAGAAACATGGTTATGTGAGAGGATGAATAGAGCTTCTCAAGTGCTCAACATGTCTCCTACTGGCCCTGTAGCTTTAGAAAATTACTTAAGTTTAGCCAATAGCATTGCAAAAGACTTTTTGCTAGGCAGTACTATTGAAAGGAAGAAGAGGAGCGTGTGGTATAGTTGGGACAGAGGCTCGGAGAGCCCTTTGCAGTGAGAATTCAGGATGGAGCTGCAGGGCGGGAAGAAGGGAAGCATCAGGTATCTGAGGATCCAGAAGACAATGTTCAATAACTCATCCAATAGCAGTATTAAGGAACTTTTCTGTGAAGAGTGTTTATTTAAATAAACTTAGCCTTTGCAAAACACAGGACTTGGAGAAATCTTCTCTCTAGAATCGAACCTCATTGTACAGGATAAGAATATTCGATGCACTCGTTGACCCAAATGAATAGGGTGTGTCAAAGATCTTGCTTCCTTTGTTGACAGTACTCTCATAAGACAACTTCTCATGTGACAATGTTTTTGTGTGCACAAACATTTTTCCTGCTATCATCTAGTCAAAAGGAATTGGTTTTTGTGGTGAATGGAGTATTGTGTGTGTGTGTGTGTGTGTGTGTGTGTATACACACTAATTTGTGCACCTTTTTGGTGTATGGTAAGATTATAGTCCAAGGAAGCACTTCTGTTGGGAAGCACAAATAAACATGGCTTTACGTGTTTGTTTGGATTTACATTATTGATGCTGGCAGGAACGCTCGCAGCTCTGAGAAAAATGTTAATTACCTGCTGCAATGTATCAGGTGAGCTCATGTTTGGCTATTAAAGGGGGAGGCTTTTCTAATTTTGATGACGTCTGGACTATATTCTGAATCATAGAATCCTAGTGCTGTAAGAGACTTCAGGAGGTCATCGAGTCCAGCCCCCTACCCAAAGCAGGACCCAATCCCAGCTAAATCAACCCAGCCAGGGCTTTGTCAGGCCGAGACTTAAAAATCTCTAGGGACGGAGATTCCAGCATTTCCCTGGGTCACCCATTCCAGTGCTTCACCACCCTCCTAGTGAAATAGTTTTTCCTAATATCCAACCCAGACCTCATTGTAACGCGAAACCATTGCTCCTTGTTCTGCCACCCCTCACTACTGAGAAGAGCCTATCTCCATCCTCATTGGAACCTCCCTTCAAGAAGTTGAAGGCTGCTACCAAATCCCCCCTCACTCTTCTCTTCTGCAGACTAAATAAGTCCAAATCCCTCAACTTCTCATAGATCACATGCTCCAGCCCCCTAATGATGTTGGTCGCCCTCCACTGGACCCCCTCCAATGCATCCACATCCTTTCTGTAGAGGGGGCCCAGAACTGGACGCAGTACTCCAGATGTGGCCTCACCTGTGCCAAATAAAGGGGAATAATCACTTCTCTAGATCCGCTGGCAATGCTCCTCCATATGCCATTAGCCTTCTTGGCTATAAGGGCACACTGTTTACTCATATCTAGCTTTTCATCCACTGTAATCCCCAGGTTCTTTTCTGTGGAAGCGCTACTTAGCCAGTCAATCCTCAGCCTGTAACAGTGCTTGGGATTCTTCCGTCCTAAGTGCAGGACTCTTCACTTGTCCTTGTTGAACCTCATCAGATTTCTTTTGGCCCAATCCTCTAATTTGTCTAGGTTGCTGTGGACCCTATCCCTGCCCTCCAACCTATCTACCTCTCCCCCTAGCTTAGTGCCCTCTGCTTCAAGATTGAATGAATCTAGTGTTCTGGTCACCAAAACAGCAAAGTTAATGTACGCCTCCCCAGTAACCTGCTGTGGGAAGGCTTGTGTGTTACGGTGTTTGTTAAATGCAACAGGCTATGATGAGGGGAGAGAGTCTGCTAAAAATATATATAAATAGCCCCACTTTCACCCTGCATTTTCACTAATTGAGTTAAGATTATCAATTGCTCTTATGATGGGGGGGAGGGGGAATGTCTTTGTGTGAAACGTATTTGGATTTTTCTAGTGAAATCCAGCATGTTCATGTCCCCCTCGTGCTGATACAACAATGTGTAGAGATTTGTCTGATCCACGTCTTGAAGCCTTTTAACATTTGAGCTACAATCATAGAAATTCAATTGTATATGCACAATTGTTTGAGCAATTAATATATTTTTATGTGCAGGCAGTATTCCTTAACACACAGGATTTAACTAGGGTTCAGTTGTGTATATCACAGTGGTAACTTATATTTATGTACCTTTGTGCACGAAGCTCTAAAAATGTGGTCCTCGGTTTTCAAGTCCTTTTTTGAACATTGGTCTTCAGAGTATTTTAAAATTACAAGTTGTCCTCTCTTGAAGGCTTCTCTTGTCAGTGGAAGGGGGTCCAGATGGGCAAAAATACACTGTCAAATTGGTCAAAACAATAAAACAGTTGGAGAGTTGTATTTCTCAGACTTCCATTACTTTCATGTTGTACTGGAGGATATTGATTTTTCTTGCTTTTTGCACAATTAAAATTCACATTTAAATTATGTTCTTGGTTACACATGCTTGGGATCTAGTGGGGAATAATTGAATGCTTCTTTCAGGTGAAAGCAGCTCTGACGTATCTACAGAAGACCTGAAAGAATGTTTGAAGAAACAACTTGAATTCTGCTTCTCACGGTATTATATGAAGAATTAATTCAGCATCTATTATGAATGCTTTGTGAAAGTTGCAACTAAATGACCCCATGTTTTGGTTACATATGTCCTATGCTCTGGGTCTTTCTCCTTGTGAAAGGGGATTTTAGGCCAGAATATCAGAGGTCAAATACGGATTTCACTTGCTGCTGCGGTAGTTGGCAGTGCCTAAGTAATGTATTTAGCTCCATGGAAAGTGGCATTTTGTTGAGATTTCAGGGCAGCCTCCTTGGGTCAGTTGGATGTGGGGTATGAGTATATATCTGCAGGAGAAGTTTTAGTATGAAAGATGCAGGTACTGCCTTGAAGCCATAGGTTAAAGTTTCAGGTCTTGATTTCCTACTGTTCTTGGCTAACTCAAAGACCAAGATAAATCAAGTGAAGCTCTTCTGTGGAGCTGGAAGCTAGGGAAGAATACTATTCTCTCTCTAAAGATGGTTATGGAATTAATGGCTTGGTGGGAGGGTGGTGGTTTCCTTCTTTTAGGATTTAGTCCTTTGAGTAACTGAGGGTCTAAGTGCAAGTGGGTACAACTTTCTGGTCAGCTCCACTAATCAACGTGGTTATGCCGAGTTGGATTCTGGCCCACAGTCTGAAGGAAAAGCAGACTTGGGAAGAAGAGTTTGCATTCTGTGGAAGGCATGTTAACAGAAAACACTGATAGGAATGTACTCAGCTTACAAAGCATGTATAGCCTTCCATGTTCACACAATGTCTACAAGCATTGGTTGTATTGGTCATTTGTAGTGCCTAAAATGAGGTACTTCAGTTCTGCTGCAGTTTGTCTTTTCTCCCTCATTTTGGGAAAGAAGCCAGAAGTGTTGGAGCTGAACCAATTCAGTTGGGCCTGCTAACTCCATATGAACATGCACACTTGCTGCAGCTCCTTTGTGGAAACTACCCAACCACTACTACTTCCAACAGTGTTGGAAGCTAAGGGAGAGGTTGGAGAACAAACACAGTGGCCCAGAAAGACCTGTAAGGGGTGCTATGTGGATGTGCCACAGTAATTCTGTTGGTATTGAATGGGACCTCTGAAACACTGCAAGGGCAAAGAAGCTCTGTAGCCATCTCCTATAGAGCCTCAATCTGCAATGCTATCTTTTTCAGTAAAGATTATTTTTCTGTATTTTGCAAGTTGAGGGGGTAAAGGCAACTTAATAGCATACTGGTAAGTAGCTCCATGTTGTACAGGCAGGATGATATAACAGCAGTTTAGCCTTAGACACTGTTCAACTGCCCTATCACTTTATTTTCATTGCCTTGATTGAGTTTCGTTTGTATTTATTCTCAAGTGTGAAAACTGGTGGAAGCATGTGCAGGTTGATTAGAATGGCAGTTACTTTGTTTTTTGAATCTTAAACGTCTAGTTGTTCTATCACTAAGCTTTTTTTTCCCTAAAACTAAGACTTTGCCTAAAACGTGTATTTTTTTCACTTCTAGTGAGAATCTATCTAAGGATCTTTACTTGATGTCTCAAATGGACAGTGATCAGTTTGTTCCAATATGGACAATTGCCAACATAGAAGGAATTAAGAAGCTGACCACCAATATTGACCTTATTCTTGAAGTATTGAGATGTACGTCACTTGTTATTTAAAACTTTCTTTTAGCTTGGTAGAAGAAATGTTCGCTAAAAGCTCTTATACAAGGAGCTCTGTTTTAAAGAAACGCAGTTGTATTATTGTTTGTGTGGGACTAATCTCAGGCCTATAGCTACTGATTTCATTTGTGGAAAAATTGGGTTGCAATTGATTCTTTTTGAAGGAAACCTAGCTATCCAAAGCAAATCCATATAAGAGTAGTTAGCTCGGTCTCCTATATTTTGTATTAAGTGAACTTCCTCAATTTTGTCTTAAGATACGGCTCTCAGGAGGACTGAGTTTTGTTAACTAAAAGCAAAAACGTTACTCCCAGAACAGCAAGTCTGCCTTCCCCACCTGCTCAGGTGTGAAGACATGCCTATATTTAAGATTTCTCTCACACACAATGTAAACATCTGACTCTTATTGGCCAAAGAAAGAAATGGTATAAAATCCTCTGGAATTCTTTCCTTAAGATTTAAATGGGAAATTCAAGAAGATCAACTCCTGATGCATGTTTGATGCCAACCTCCCACAACTCACAATTAATCTGGGAAGCAAGGAAGTGCTTAGTGTCTTTGAATATTAGAAGTATATGTATATGACCTTTAGTGCATGTGTTTAAAAAAAATTCATGACTCCAGATAATTGAAGAACTCATCACTCAGTTACACAAATAATGTATCTACCCAGGTGCAAGGATAATTAAAAAAAAAAAAAAAAAAAAGCTGCATTACTTTTTTTTCTAGTCACAGTTCATTGTTTTAAGATATAGCTAATTTTGTATGACTTCTGCTGTCAGTATTGAGCATACATCCTGGTATGCCTGTATGTAGTCCAGTACATACTTTTTTCTGCCAGTAGGCCTGTTTACTGTATGAGAAGTAAAAATTTGTTCTTATTGCTGTTAGTTTCTGAACTACATAATATGAGTGGAGACAGGCACCTAGGATAAAAATAAAAGTGCAGTGGCTGTTGGGGAGAAAATACTATTCTTGGTAAAAGCTTAAACTCTTAATTACCAAATACGGTTACAATTTTTTTTCAGAAACCCTTGTGCCTCACCTTTTAAGATTGAGCTCTGTCACAATTGGTTTTGTCTGTAATCTCTACAGGTAACTAAACAAATGTCAGGATCTCTGACAGTCTGTGTAGACAATAAAACAGTCATGTCTCTTCTCACATTCAAAGCTCATTTCAGAGGCAGCTCCATGGGAGCTGATATGCATGGGGAGTTGGCTTGAAAGCCAGCTTCTCGTCTGTACTGGCTCTTGCCTGCCCCTACCCCTCACTGCTTCCTCTCTCTTAGAGGCAGCAGTGCGGGGATTGGGGTAGGAGAGCAGATGGCAGACAGCTCCATAGGATCTGGTGCTTGTGGGAAGCTGGCTTAAAAACTGGTTCCTCATGGGCACCGGCTCCTGCCCCTCCTCCCCCCCCTCCCCACTCCCCTTGATACAGAGGCAGCAAGGGGGCAGAAGTGTGTGTAGTTTACAGGACTAACCAATAAGCCAAGGCTTATTGGTTAATCGTATAGTTGAGTACACATTGACAGCTATAGTGTGTGGAGTGACTAGTGAAAAATTAAATACTAACTGAAGGAGATCCTTAATGTCTACAATATATCCAAACACACATCTGTTTGAATCTTGCTGCTGTCAGTTGTGTGCATATTGCAGAGAGTTACGCTAATATCCAATTTTATCTTAATTTTAGCTTCCCCTATGGTACAAGTAGATGAGAGAGGGGAGAAAGTAAGACCAAACCATAAACGATGCATTATTATTCTTCGTGAGATCCCTGAAACAACGCCTATAGAGGTAAAAAAAAAAAAAAAATCCCATCCTTTGCAGTAAGTATATTGGGACTTGAAAATGTGGCTTTCAAGCTGCAACAGAAAGAGTGATGTGCTTTTTTAAAAAGCTGATGGGCAACTTAAGTTGTGGATAAGATTTAATTCAACTGAGTGGTCTTCTGTAAAACAACTTACAGTTTTTTCTTTCTTGAAGTGATGGGAAACCAAAGGCCATATCTCATTCCATTGATATCAACATAATGAAAAAGGATGACAACGCAGTAAAATGCTCTTTGTTCTATAAAACGTTTTATCTTCCACTGAAGACTGTGGAGCCACCTAGGCTTTCTGGAAGGGCGGTTGAATGGGTTTCCTTTTGGATACAAAACTGAAGTCAGTTGAGGGGATAACACAGATTTCAGGCAAAAATTTTCACAGCAAGCACTTTGCATTAAGTCTGAGGGTTATTTTGGCAGATAAAAACATTAATACAAATTTTCCTATTCATTGTGACCCAGTTTGAGTCAAGCTCATGATGATAGAGCATAATAAAATGCCTGTTGATATTTGGCTGACAGAGCTGTTAGTTATTTTTTTTAAAAAGATTTTAGAGCTGTGTAATACGAGACATTTATATAGTGGCACTTAAGATTTTTTGCCTTGTAAATTTCTGAAGTCTGTTGCTCCTCTTAAAAGCTGAAACCCATTTTGACGCCAGCAACTTCTTGCGTAACTGTTGCTCTTGTTGAAGTTAAGAATCTTGCTTCAGAAGGACCTCTGTCAAGGTTAAGAATCTTGCTTCAGAAGGACCTCTGTCAAGGTAACTTGGCTAACTTGAAACCAAGGTGGTTGAGGTAATCTCTTATTTGATCAACTACTGTTGGTGAGAGAGGAGCCACACAAAGCTCATCTTCAGCTCAGGGATAAGTACTCGGAGCATCACAGCTAAATGCAAGATTGAAAAGATGATTTAGTATAAATAGTTAACACACATTCTAAGGGACTATTCAAGGTAAGCTTAGTGAACAAGGAAAATTGCATGCAGTTTGAAGGCAGTAACTCCTAATGCTTCCTTGGTAGCTTAATGCTGGAATCTTTGTTTATCCCATTGTTCCCTCACCAAAAATGCCCACTTTTTGAGAGGTGAAGGAATGTCTTTTTAATCTGAGTAGCTTATGAGTGCAAGACTCATGTCATTCGCTTAAAGAACAGCACAGTGTCATCCGTACCCATATACAGCTGTGGAGGGAACCTGAAAATTTAGGGCATGACTAGGTCCTAGTGTCCTCCCACCCACCTCTTCCTATCCCTTTTCTGTGGCTCTGCTTCCTTCAGAGAGGATCTACTTGAAGTGGGAAAACCCTGTTCTTGTAGCAGAACATAGAACCTGTGAAAGCCATTCACGTGGTAATGAAGCCATTTAACAGGCATTTGCCAACCCCAGGTATATACTGTCAGTTTCTGAATTTAGTATGTTAATCAACAGGACCTTAGTTTTAAAGTTTGCTTTAGAATACTGTTAGTGTATTGCTTAACATTATAAACTCTCTCAACAAATCATTCCCCAGGCTGCTGTTGGGTATAGGGGCACCAGTATAATAGTACTATGTAAGGCCCCATAAATCCTAAAGACTTTCCTGAGCACAGATGTGTTTGTCCACTCAGTAGAAATCTCAAGTAGTTAAACTTTCTCAAGTGATTTTTGGGCATCTCATTTTCATTCGTTTCTTGACAAATGTACTTATATGCATGTCATCTATTGAAGAAAGCTAAATTTTGTTATGCAGCACCTAAAACTGCTGTGCTCTGCCATGTAAGACCTGCTTGCTTCCAGTTGTCTTCCTACCCAGGCTGGCAAGCCTACAGTGCGTTCAGTCCCTGGGAGGGGTGGTATCTCTTACAAGGATGCTTTCTGCTAAAGAATAGTAATAGAGATGTAGCCGTGTTAGTCTAGTCTAGCTGAAACAAAAAACAGGACTATGTAGACTAACAAGATGGTTTATTAGGGGGTGAGCTTCCCACAAAAGCTCATCACCTAATAAACCATCTTGTTAGTCTTTAAAGTGCTACATAGTCCTGTATTTTTGTTTCTGCTAAAGAAGCACAGTTCAGAATTGTGTGAGTGAGGATCTCAGGGTTTGGAAATGAAAATGTTGTTTGGGAGAATATGAATTAGCGCACACACCCACATTCTCCTGTTAAATCTGGAGGAATATATCCACATATTAAAGTTTGAAATGTCTCATTACTAGACTGGTACAGGTCTAGCTGAACAACATAAGTGGTGTGCCCTTGCTTGGAGATTGGACGTATTCGTGGCTACAAGATGAGCTTTCTATATGCAGAAGAGTCATAGAAGGAAAACCTTCCCCGATGGGGAGAGGGTGTTAAATCTTAGAGTTGATTTGCAATGATAGGGCTGGGTCCCCATAACTAACAGGTTTCCTCTTTCTTCAGGAGGTGAAGGCACTGTTTAAAAGTGAAAACTGTCCCAGAGTAATAAGCTGTGAGTTTGCTCACAATAACAACTGGTACATTACATTCCAGTCAGATACTGATGCACAACAGGTAAGACTCCATTTAATTTGAAGCTAATCTCTTTCCTTTAATTGGACTTGATTTGTTACTGAGAGCTGCACACATAGTGCCTGGTAAAATGTGTGTCACGAGGGAGACATAACTGACTTGATTGATGTATGCAGCACCTATTGCCTGGAGAGCTAAAAGTTTATTTACAAAGTTGAATTCATTTTAACTGATAGAGAAATCCATGTGCTTAGTGATGACTGTTGTTGTTGGACTGCATTTCTACGGTTTGCCTCTTCCCATGTTTGCTGCTTCTGTTCGGTCTTTCTTGCTACCCTTGACAACAAAATAATGGCATTTGGTTAATGGAAATCTTGGATACTGGATGTAGAGCTCTATATTTGAAATGCTGGCTTCGTTTAAACTAGGGATGTAAGTGACTGGTCGACTACCCGATAAGCATATGCTTATTCGGTAGTGCAGTAGTGAGTTGACTGGCTGACTGGTCAGAGGGGCAACAAGGAGGGGAGCAGGAGCCAGTGCTGGTGGTGGGGAGCCAGTTCAAAATCCGGTTCGCCCATCACCGTCTTGATGGGGGACAGGGGTACTAGAGGTGCAGAGGGAAACGGCACAAGTGGGGACTGAAGCAGTCTCCCCCCCCTCCCCCCATGCTGGTCCAACTGCTGTGCCTCTCCCTTTGGGATGTAGCAACTCCTGCTCCATATTCAAAGGGAGGCAGAACCCAAGGTGAGTGGGAACTGCTTGAGTACCCGCTCCGCCTCTGCCTTTGAAGTGTATGTAGTAAGAGCCATGGGCAGGTCTTACTACATTTAAGAGGCAGAGGTGCAGTCGGGATGGCGAATGTTCTGTTCCACCCCTTATTGACTGATCGAGTAGTTGATGGCAATTCTATTGTCTGCTCGATTAATTGATTAATCAAAAATTAACATCCCTAGTTCAAACTAGAGCTGGCTAAAAGGGGGAAACAATGTACAGTAAACTTCTGATAATCAGGCACCTTTAGGACCCAGGGGGTGCTGGATTATCCGATATGCCGGACTATCGGAAGGGGGGGCTATGAGGGGTCTGAAGTGGGGTGGTGCGGATGGGAGGGGGGGGCACCGTGGGACCAACCCGGCAGCATCCCAGCTGCTCTGCCCCAGGCGTCCCCAAGTCAGCTGCTGCTAACGGCTGGGGTGCTGCTGGGTTGGTCCGGTAGCACCACCATTCGGCGCTGCGAAACCAACCCGGCAACACCCCAGCTGCTCTTAGGGACGCCTGGGACAGAGCAGCTGGGGTGCTGCCGGGTCGGTCCCGCAGCGCCGAGGTGTGGTGCTATGGGACCTACCCGAGCTGCTCTGTCCTGGTGTCCCCAATTCAGCTGCTTGTTAGTTTCAGCAGTGGCTGAATCGGGGAAGCCGGGTGCAGAGCAGCTCCAATGGTCCGGCTGACCAAGCACTTCCGGGTTCCCGATGGTGCCGGACCATCAGGAGTGCCGGAGCATTGAATGCCGGACCAATGGAGTTTTACTGTACATGGAACTGCATTAATTCCTGTAGTTTTAAAAATTGTACTGTTGGAACAAATGTCTAGAACTAGGAATGTTAGGCGATTTAAAAGATGGCTCACCACACAAACTGGCTTCTGCCTGCCCCCCTTGCCTTGCTGCCTCTGTTACAGTGGAGAGAGGGTAGAGAGCAGCTTCCCAGGAGTCAGTACGTGCTGGGAGCCAGCTTTTAAGCATGTACCAGGAGTCTGCATGTAACCATGAAGGTTAATCAATGATTGTGTACACAATTACACTTTCACATACCTAGATCCAGCTGGGTCTTTTATAGAAGGCTTAAGAGCAATAGATTCATCAATTTTTTTTTTCGTTTAGAACATCTCCTCTAGTGTACATCCTGCTACAGTCCTAACAACTAAGCCTTGCGGTTTTGTGTTACTGCATAAGAATCTGGAAGCCAAACTTTATAGAAATTGACTGGACAAGAAAATGAAACTGGATTTTTTTTAATTTTTTTTTAATTGAGCAAGCCAAGAAGTGGGCATCTTAAATAATAATTTCAAACAAGGCAGATGAAGTATCCCTGTAAATAACTTGATGGGCACTGTTTTTTGTGTTTTTCCCTGCCGTAGGGAACAATAGGTGTCTTGCAGTGAAGATAGTCTGACTTGGTACAAAATCTCTCTCTGGTGTGGTTTCTCAATGTCAAATGCAAATACTGACATGCAGTTGCAGGGGCACATTCAAGGCATGCACTTTCTCTTGCTGTTTTAAACTGCTGGCAATGTAACCCTTGCAACAGAGAGGAAATAATTCCTCTTTGATAGAAACATGACATAGTCATTTCTTTGTTAGGATTTAAGAAAGATGGAGGAAAGCAGGATGGCATATGTACTAACACAGTGTTTCTCAACCTTTTTTATAAAGTAACCCCTTTTAAAAAATGAAACAAAAAACAGGACTATGCAGCACTTTAAAGACTAACAAGATGGTTTATTAGGTGATGAGCTTTCGTGGGCCAGACCCACTTCCTCAGATCAAATAGTGGAAGAAAATAGTCACAACCATATATACCAAAGGATACAATTTAAAAAAATGAGCACACATGAAAAGGACAAATCAAATTTCAGAACAGAAGGGGTATAGGGATGGGGGGGGGGGAGGTAAATGTCTGTGAGCTAATGATATTAGAGGTGATAATTGGGGAAGCTATCTTTGTAATGGGTAAGATAATTAGTCTTTATTCAAACTTAAGTGTAAAGTGTCGAATTTTAACATGAACAAAAGTTCAGAGGATTCTCTTTCAAGTGTATTCTTAAAAGGCCTTTGAAGCAGGATGCAGGTAATCACGTTGAGACAATGTCCTTTCTGGTTGAAATGGCAAGAGACTGTTTTTCTTTGTGATCCTGTCTGATTTGTACTGTGGTGTCCAGGAAATGGTGTCAGCAATGGAAAATTAGACACCACTCTCTACAGAAAACCCACTGACTCATACAGTTACCTACACGCTTCCAGCTCCCATCCAGAACACACCATACGATCCATCATCTATAGCCAAGCCCTTTGATACAACCGCATCTGCTCTAATCCCACTGACAGAGACCAGAAACTTCAGGATCTCTACCAAGCATTTATAAATGTCAACTACCCACCCGGAGAAATGAAATAAAGCAAATTTGAAAGAGCCAGATGAATACCTAGAAACCATCTACTTCAAGACGGACCCAGGAAAACCAACAATAACACCACTTGTCATCACCTACAGCTCCCAACTTAAACCCGTCCAACACATTATCAATAAACTACAGCCTATACTGGAACAGGATACTAAACTCCAAGAATCTCTGGGAGACAGACCCATAGTCTCCTATAGACAACCACCTAACCTCAAGCACTAATACCAACCCTGGTACCTTCTCTTGCCAGCTTTGTCCACATATTCACTCTGCTGATAACATTATTGGACCTAACCAAGTGAGTTATAAGATGAAGAGCACATATTCCTGCACACCCAGAAATATAATGTATGCCATCATGTGCCGAAAGTGTCAGTCTGCTATGTACATTGGACAAACGTCTCAGACGCTTCGCCAAAGGATCAGTGCTCTCAAAACAGATATTAGACAGGATCCCAAAGAAAAAACAGTTTCTTGCCATTTCAACCAGAAAGGACATAGTCTCAACGACTTGATTACCTGCATCCTGCTTCAAAGGCCTTTTAAGAATACACTTGAAAGAGAATCCTCTGAACTGTCATTCATGCTAAAATTTGACATTTTACACTTAAGTTTGAATAAAGACTCTAATTATCTTACCCATTACAAAGATAGCTTCCCTAATTATCACCTCTAATATCATTGGCTCACACATTTACCTCCTTCCCCCATCCCTCTTTTGTTCTGAAATTTGATTTGTCCTTTTCATGTGTTCATTTTTTTTTAAATTGTATCCTTTGGTATATATGGTTGTAACAATTTTCTTCCACTATTTGATCTGAGGAAGTGGGTCTGGCCCACGAAAGCGCATCACCTAATAAACCATCTTGTTAGTCTTTAAAATGCTACATAGTCCTGTTTTTTGTTTCAGCTACACCAGACTAACACGGCTACATTTCTATCACTTTTAAAAAAATGCATGGTACCCCCCACGACCTACAGTTTTGACACACACAATTTTTTCTACCATTGCAACACATTTGTTTAAACAAGTTAACCGTAGCCGGGCAGGCGCTGACATTTTTGGGTGTAAAAGATACAAAAATAATAAAACATCGTAAAACTTACAACAAATTCAGTTTTCTCCAAATTTCAGTTGTTGACATTACCCCCTGTACTTCCCTCAAGTACCCCTAAGGGTACTTGTACCACTGTTTCAGAAACTTTGTACTAACATATATTGCAGCTTGGACTGCATGAAGTATTGCAAACTGTTGATGGTCTAAAATAACGATGGCTTTTCCTTTTGATAAAATTATCAAACTTATCATGATATAAGGTAATTTGAATGCAGACCTAGCTATGAAGATTAGTCAGTTTCTAAAGACTGCCTTTGAAGTTCTATCAAAGTGTAGGGGGATGTGTAGTTCTATCAAAGTGATCTTTTAAATTAAATGTGCTTTTTATGTACACAGGCATTTAAATACTTAAGGGAAGAAGTAAAAACCTTTCAGGGCAAGCCAATAATGGTAAGACTCTTTGTTAAATGTGAGTATGGGGAGGTTTTAAAATCGTGTGTGTCTTTCTTTAGCCAGCACAGTAAACTTATTAAAAATGTGTTTTATGTTGCAAAACCTCTTCTCTACAGGACACGAGCTTGAGCCAATGTGAGAGTGGTGTGTGTTTGTGCATGAAAAGTTACTGTCTAGCATCTGGTGGTGATTTCCAAGTGCAGTTTCCAATGGAGATGCAGTGCATATATAATATAGTATTTTCAGCTTCCAAATTGGCAATCTTGTTAGTAAAACTCAGCAGAGGGATTAAAGATTTTAAATCTATTAATTTTGTATTGCTTGCTCCTTTAGAATGAGATTTAGACAACATGGCTGTGCAGGGTGAGTGAAGCTTGTCCTATTTGCTGCTGCTTGTACAGTAGCTATCATGTGAAGACTTGAGTTATGTAGTTGTCAGTCTGGAGTCTTTCACAGCACTGAATTTGCTTAATTTCTGAGTTACACTCAGATTATAGGGCAGTTATTTCCACAGAATGTAGCGCAAAGCTCAATGCCTTGAGTGATCCATTGACTTAAGACACCCGCCCTTCATTTTACTACACTATGTTGCAGTGTTGGTTATCCATTTTTACAGTATCTTGTCTCAAAAGGTTTATGCTCATAGTCAGCAGTTAACCTAGTTTTTCCTTATTCTTATTTCTATTATCTAGATAAGAAAAAAAACCCTCTTGTTGTTCCTTGTTCTCTCCTTCAGTGTGGCACACATAACTTGGTTTGGTCTCTTGTAGGCGAGGATAAAAGCCATCAACACATTTTTTGCTAAAAATGGTTACCGGGTCGTGGATTCCAGTGTGTATACTCAGCCAGTTCAAACACAAGCACAGTTTGCCTCACCACTGTTTATGCAGCCTGTATATAGTCCTCAGCAGTACTCTATTTACAGTATTGTGCCTCAGACTTGGTCTCCAAACCCTGCACCTTACTTTGAAACACCACTGGTAAGTAATTGGTGCCATGTTTCATATGATGGGAGGGGTCTTGTTATCGAGATGGATGGGAGTACATTGGGAATAGTGTCCCAAAAATATACTCTTAAAGCTTAGGTAACAAATTGGCCTGTGCTGACCTTTTGCTATCTTGCATTAGACGTGTGTGGTCATCTCTTCCATGTAGTGTTGGTTATTCTCCCTTGGCTTCATTTGGCAACGGTCCTGACCCAATAAGATATGCCCCTAACAGGCACCCTATCCTACTCCAGCTTCAGTTAAATCTCGGCAGCCTCCATTGTAAACTGAGTTTTATCCCAGGGAAAACGGGGGACGTGGGGAATAATTTTCTTGGTGCTCCCTGGACAGAAAAATCATGAAATTGTTGTGGCTTTATAGGCTATGGACCTAGGATAATTGTTTTTGATGGAGTATAATATAACAGTTGTAATAAGTGGAATGTGATGGCACAGGGTTGAGGTGTAAAACATTCTGGATAAAGCAGCAAGTTAAGTTAATGTCAGTAGTGCAAAAAAGGGTCAAACGACTGTAAACAGGTTTTTCTTTTTATCTTGACAGTTTTAATATACTTGTCTCTGCATTGCAGGCTCCCTTTCCTAATGGTGGATTCGTGAATGGCTTTAATTCACCAGGATCGTATAAGACAAATGCTGCTTCCATGAGCATAGGTCGTCCATTCCATAGAAACCGGTAAGAAAAAAATCAGGAAGCTGTCTATGCTTTTAGAAATTGCAGTTTCCATGGTGTCGTCAAGGAAAGCTTATTACCATCACCATTATGTCATGTAGTTGATCTAAATCACTCTTCTCTTTGTTTGCAAAATCTAAGTGGGATTCTTTTTATAAATTGAACATAAAATCCCTGCCAGCGTTCCATGAGGCCATACAGTAACAATAAGGACTCATTTGAAAGCGTCAAAGGTGTTCACATTGAGGCACATGTTTAAGGCTGAAACAAAGATAGCATCCTCTTAGAAGCACCGGTTTCTAACTCATGGTTGCCGTTATTTCCTAATCAGAAACTCTCACAAGACACTCAGCTTCTGTAGTGAGACTAACATCATATGTAAAGCCACTTATCTTATAGGACTTTAGAGATTCAAGCTCTTATTAGATAAAATTGCTGGATGCTCAATTTATTACACTGATTCATTTACGCGTCAGTCTCTTGATAGAATTTTAGAAAGTGAGCTCAAACACTTCTATTTGCAGAGGAGGAAAAGCCTTGTGTGTCATTGGAGCAGTGCGCTATGATTACAAAAGACTATAGTACTCTCGCCTTGTGTGGGTGGAAACTTTTATTTGCAGGCTTCCCTACTGAGTGCAGCAAGCAGACTGATTACCACAGTAATCGCTTTTATGTTTGAGGCTTCACTTGACAACTGCTTGTGCTGTAAACATTTGGTAATGAAGCTAAAGTTCATGGTCATAAATTGACGTGCTCAGCAGAGGATGGACTTTGAAATTGGGCCTTCAAAAAGAGTGAAGTGTTTATTGCTGCATTTGGAACAAACAAGGCAGCTTAATTTATAAAGAAAATTGTTTCTAATGGGGGAGATCCTGCCCCCAGTTGTTCCTGCACAACTGCCATTGAGCAATTTTAAAGTAGTACCTGTTAGTTACAAAAACTTAAATGAGACTCTTTATAGGACTCCTTGTGTTTGTTGACCTAGTCTTTGACAGTTGTTTAGCCCAGCTGGTGTGTACAATAAGGGCAAAAAGCTTCTAGGTGGGCAGTATACCCACTTCCTAATTTACCTGATGAAAATTATCAACATCATTTTTACCATTCAATCTGTGCTCTTACCAGCAGTCTTGACTCAGCCTCCAGTGTAGGCTAGCAGTCAAAGCAACCCTTTCATGTCCTCTTGGGGCAAGACTCCCCGTGATTTTTTTGCAGTGAAGATTTATGTATATTTGGCATCAGTACTGTACAATCACATGGAATCATGCAAGTGTGGAACAGGAGTGGACCACAAGAGTCCATCTAATTTAGTCCCTTGAACTCAGTGCAGCACTGCATAATAGCTAAACCACTCCTGACATATGTAAGTCTCTTCTGTCCTTAAAAACTTCCAATGAGGGAGATTCCATGTCCTCCCTAGTCTGTCTGTTCCAGTGCTTAGCTACCCTGAAAGTTCAGAAGTTTTCCTGATGTCCAGCCTACACCTCCTGGAAGGGAGGGAGGGACAGCTCAGTGGTTTGAGCATTGGCCTGCTAAACCCAGGGTTGTGAGTTCAGTCGTTGAGGGTGCCATTTAGGGATCTGGGGCAAATCTGTCAGGCATGGTACTTGGTCCTGCTATGAGGACAGGTGACTGGACTCCATGACCTCTCAAGGTCCCTTCCAGTTCCATGAGATAGGTATATCTCCACATATTATAAATTTTATATTATTATTTAAGCACATGGCTTCTTGTCCTGTCCTGTGAGGATAATGAGAAATTTTCCAGCCTCCTCCTTGTAGAAAACTTATGTCCGCTCCCTGAGTCTTTTTTCTCCAGACTAAACAAACTCAGTTTTTTTCAATCTTTCTTCAAAATGTTTTCTCTGACTTAGCAGCTATAAAAGTTAGTTATGTAGCTGTTGAAGAGGAGAGGGATATCTAAAAAAGGCAAGTGGTCTCCTCTTTCCATATAGTTGAAAGACACATCTTCTTATGTAGAACTTCTCATTTTAATCTTCAGAGGTTCCTCAACTTCACCATGGAGCCCCATCTTATAGCTCTTTAGACAGAGCTCTGTCCTGAAACCCAGCAGAGCATAGTGTAAACTATTCCTCTTATGAAATGAGATGACTTACTGAGTCCAAGGTTGTCCAGAAACGGTACCCAATAATGTTATGGCTTTAGTTAAGAGCTCCATATCTACTGGTGGCAAGAAGCTAACATATGCTTATTCCTAGGTAGCTCCTGCATTATTGTAGGAATTCTATTGTATGGTGCAGTCTCTAGAAGAGAATCTCCTGCCAGAGCAGTGAGAGTTTTAAAGGGTTATGACTTTTAAATGAGTCTCTACTGTAAAATGCCTTTTCAGTAGAGGGAATATAATTTTTGAGCTCCTACCTTTTTTTCCAGGTAGAAGAAAGTTGGAAGTACTTTGATTACATGGTTCTTTGGAACCATGTGAAACTTGGTTCCAAACACATGTTTTGTCTAGGATGCGCTGTAGCCTTCACATCATCATGTTAGCTTAATATGAAGCTTTCCTTATGCCATAGCAACTTTAAAGCCTGTTTCTAGGATTTCAATATATTAAAGGAGGATAGCACAAGCCTCTGAGAAACATCCCATCTGCTGGAGTGCTAGCAAGAGAAGTGAGATGCATGCTTAGAGGGTCGGCCCAATGATGATCAAGTATCGCGCTCAGAGAGAACAGGTCTGACATTCAAAAGTCTGGGCATCTGTTACATCACAATCTCCTTGCTCACTTTTCTACTGCTTCCTTCATTTTCTTTCACTTACCTTCTTGCCCTTTTCTCCTTTACTTTTCGTTATTCTGCCCAGACTAAGATTGTGTGGCCTTCTCAATGACCAGTGAGATTATGAGATCTGAGGGCTGAATGACACATCTAGAGTTCCTTTACCTGGAATGGATTCCAAGCTGGTAAACTTACATTACTTAACTCAAATCTGCTTTTCATGACCATTCCTGATCCTAAATCTTATTAGGTGCTCTAGTAAGCTCCCTGCCAATGCACTTATTTCATGTCATCTGGCTACTAGTCTAATTGAAAATGTCTCAAGTAGCAGGGATTCTTCCATTTCCCTTGACTGTTCCTTACTGGGGGAAAAAAACCAGCAAGCAAATGGTCTGGTAGCACTTTATAGACTAACAAAACATGTAGACGGTATTATGAGCTGTCGTGGGCACAGCCCACTTCTTCAGATGACAGTAGTTATCTGGGGATGGACAGTTACTGGGTGTGGAAATGGTGCTCTGTATATTTGTTTAAATCTGATGGGTTCAAAGAGTTCCTTAAAGTCTCAGCCATCTTTGGTAATTTGGTATATTTTTTAAGTTTGTGTTGCTTTTTATGCTTCATCAGCATGGATCCGTAAAATCTGCTGGAATATAGATTACAGGAGAATTCTTTTATTATAATATGGGGTTCCAATCTGGAAAGGGCTAAGATCCACTGATGCATTAGATGTAAGGTTTCCCCCCCCCCCCCATCTATATTTAACACCACTTAATGCAATGTTTTTCTGTTTTGGCAGTAAACAGCTTTCACTTTCTAGGCCGCTTTGTGAATTCTTACAATGTGGCAGTGTTTGGGTTGCAGGGGACTCTTTACATTTGAAGGTAATGGAATGTAATATTTACACAGGAGCACATATTAGATTATCACAGTGGTTCCTTTCTGGATTTAAATTTATCATTCTGACAAACCAATGTTGAATTATTGAGTTATAAACTTTTCTTTTTATATTTTTGAAATTTTTTTAACAAAAATAAAATCCTTGAGCCTAAGAACTTTTCTTTTTATATTTTTGAAAAATATTTTAACAAAAATAAAATCCTTGAGCCTAAATGGATTGTCACTTGAAATCTTATTTTGTTGGTGGAGAAAAGCCACATATTGGGTGGCTGAAGATTATTTAATAAATTGTGTTGGAGGTAAAAAATACTATGCCAGCTCTGTTCCATATCCCTGCTCTTACCCCTACAGTTTCAGGAAACTTTTTCCAGAGAGGTGGTTACATGCTGCTTCCTCTTCATAGCTTTTTGTCCTATAAACTGAGCTTAATTTATCTCCATGTAGGTAATCCCTAGTTTAATATTAAATATTGACTGTTTTGTCTTTAAGGTATGCAAACCAACATTTGTGTAACTTCATTTGGCCTAGTTTGTTGCAATATGGCCACGTGTGCAGCAGTGAAAGGTTCATACTTTGACAAACTCCCAGATTGTTGTCATGGACTGACTTAATCCGCTTCCTTGTGTTGCAGATATTAGGACTGTAAAATGGCATTGGCAAGATAAGATGGGCTTCAGAATAATCAGAAAAATGTTTCTCAGCACATCAGCTGCCATGATTTAAAATGTAGGATGGATGACTGTCCTGGAATACTTCCTGCATTATTGAACCAAAGAGGCACCTTTTTGCACATTAGATCAAACAGTCTATGTAGGAAGTACCCAGAGAAAACAGTGGCAAAATAGTCATTTGTCATTTAAAATGGCATTGGCAATTGTAGTATAGTGCACACGGAAGAATGAGATTATTAATCTGTCTTTCACTTCTGGTTCCATGCTCTACTTTCTCTCAGTTGTGAATTGGATGCTCTTGTATTATCTTGAAATGCTTCATTTGGAATCTGCTGCTTGTATTTTGCAGAGAATGATAGCTGTGCATATTATCAGGTAGCCACTGAAGTAACAAATTGGTTACACTTGAATGTGGTGGAATTAGGGCGTCTGTTTTATTCTTGCCCTTGCATAGGCAATTCTCCTTTTCTGTACTTCTTGTTGCTTGAGACCTGTGGTCACCATTGATTGTGGGGGTATGACCAGTCCATTGCGAGGCATTCCACCTTCCCACCCCACCTACAAGAAGGAGCCTGTGCTGATGCTACCTCGTTGATTGTGGGGGTATGACCAGTCCATCGCGAGGCATTCCACCTCCCCACCCCACCTACAAAAAGGAGCCCGTGCTGATGCTACCTCCTGCGAAAATGGAGGTAGCGCCAGCTTCCTGCGGAGAGGGGGGAAGTCGCACAGCTGCGAACCAGGTTCGGTGTCTGAGGAAGTGCATGGGCTACTCTTCCCTCTTCCCGTAAAAGCCAGTGAAACCAGGTTGGGTGTCTGAGGAAGTGCATGGGTTGCTCTTCCCTCTTCCCGTAAAAGCCAGTGTGCTTCCTCGAATGCTGGGTCTGTTGCACTGCTGGGGACTTCCTTCCCTGTGCTTCCTGCTTTCCTGCAGGGAGGGAGGAGTAGGAGTCCCAGGACTGTGCACCAGGACTGTGCACCAGCTCCAACTTCTCAGGAAGCACGCTGGCTGTTGTGGGGAGCGGAGGTGTCTCAGGGCCACATTAGTGAGGCTTAGGGGTTTTTGGAGGGGTTGTTTGTTTGCATCTCACTTGTGTGGCCCCACTGACTTTTCTGTGGGTCAGTGACCCCTGACTCAAAACAGGTTCCCTGTCCCTCTCATAGATAAAGACAATGCTGAAACCTTTTGTGTTTGACATAATATTTTATTTTAAAATGAAGCCTGGCCAACGCGCGTGCGCACAGATCCCAAACCTGAGCCTATCATGCACAAGAACCCACTGCCCTGAGCCTCTCATCCCCAAACTCGTGCCCTCCGACATCCCCAGTCTTCTGCCACAATACTCCTGCACCATCTACACACTGCAAATCTGTGTCCTAAGCCCATCCTACTTCCAACCTCCCTGCCCTGTACCCCTTACATACCCCAACCCAAACTCCTGCACCTCACATCCACAAGCCTGTGGCTCAGCACCCCAACACTCTCCAGCCTGGAGCCCCCTTCCTGATCCAGCATCCCCTTCTCCACTTCCTCCTGCACCCAAATTCCCTCTCAGAGCTTGCACCTCTCACCCCTTCCCACACTCTCATTCCCACCTTAGAGTCCGCACCTCATGTCTCAGCCCAGTGAGAGTGAGTAAGGGCTAGGGACAGAAACTGATGGAGAGGAGGGGAACAGAGGGTGGGGCCTCATGGAAGGGGTGGGATCTTGGGGATGGGGTAAATCTTGGCTCACCCTTATATTTTAAAAAGTGATCTTGGGTGTAAAGAGGCTGGAGACCACTGCTCTTGACTAGTCACAGTCCATCTCCCTCCATTTCACTTGTATGTTAGTGATAGTGTGTTAACTGCCTAACTCTTGATCTTTTCCAGAGCTTTCTATTGTCTGTCACCTTTTTTTACTGTCAGGTAGGGACTTCTGGAAGACCACTCAGGATTACTGAGAAGAGGTGGTTTGAGGATGCCTAGTTATATGGTTTGGGAGCTGAACAAAGGAGCGTTTTGTCCTTGGACCTTCAAGTTAGGCAAGGGTGCATGGTCCCTCGTGGAATGTTTTTAATAATGGAGGTGGAACATTTATTTATGGTGTTTTTTAATTACTTCATGCCATATTATCCAATGGGCTCTAGCTTGTGTGGGAGTGAACTCTGCTTATTGATCCTTATGTTGTGGTAATGCCAACCTCTTATTGTATCTCATACAGTGTGAAGCCTAATTTCCGATCATCAGGTAGTTCGGAACACTGTTCAGAGGGCGCAGCTGTGGTTGGTACAGTGTCGATGGGGGATGGACCACTGAACAGAAGTAACTTGAGGAATTTTGGTATAGAACGACATACCAGTACTCTTACAGGACAGCAGGAACAAGTCTGTTCTCCAAAGGATTACCCCACCTCACAGATGGAACAGAATGGAGACTACAACAGTGGCAGGGGCAGGTAATGGATTGCATCAATGAAATTCTTTCTTCACAATGAAAGAATTGTGTGGTGTGAGAAATGCTGTACCATGGTGTTGGGGAAACAATTGTGAAGCCCGCTCCAGTTGAATTTTTATAAAGCAATATAACTTCAGGTTTTGAACACAACTGTTCAGTTACCTGTGGAATGGTCTAGAGAGGAATTGACATTCAATTGAACAAGCAAATTGAGCCTAATGCATTTTGAACTTTCTAAAGTGAGGTTAAAAACATTTGGACTTAGCATTCATTTTTTTACAAACTCTAAAGATAGAAAATTCATACAATTAGTAGTATTTAGAGATGTCCTTGTAGAAGCAAGAGGAAGACAAAAGGACAGGGTAGGCCCGTTAATCAATGAGGAGGGGAAAAATAATAACACAATGTGAAAATGGCAGAGGTTCTTATTGACTTTTTCAGCTTTCACCAAGATTGTTAGTGGTTGGACATGAAACATAGTGAATGCCAGTGAAAATATGGTAGGTTCA